TGTAGATAAGAAACGCAATACTGAATTCGATGCGTTTTTTTTTATTTTGTAAGTAAAGTCTTGTCAATGTAAGACAAAACACAGCCAGATCTTAAACAAATTGAGAGACTTACTGTCTCTTGTATAGATCACAAGGTTTTGAACACATACAAAGCAAAATGGCAAAAGAAAATCTGAATGGAGGAAAGGGAAAGTGTTTTACATAAATATAAAACTAGGAAGAAATATGAAATGTGATTATATTAACAGTTATGTGTGACTAGTTGATGCAAATGACAGTTTGACAGCATCGTTGCATGTCCCTCAATTTAAAATGCCGTCCATTATTCCAAAAACAAAACCTCATGTCAATTAGCAATGTTGTTAAAGTGTCATTGACATCAAATTGTCACAAATCATCACCATTAATATAACAAGTACGACATCAAGTTTTCAGCAACAAACTGAGGACGAATATTATTGTCAATCAAACTGAACTCATCACCAGATGCACCAACATACAGCCTTTCACTAGCAACGTCAATATAATCTTGATTCCGCCGACCAGTCAGTGTTTCTTCCTCAGGGACTTCTATGTGAGGTCTGCTAGAACATCTTCAAGCTGCATGCCCTATGGATAATCCAGTGACGCAAACCAATGATTTTGCAAACCTAACGATGATTAGCTAACCCAACTGGATTCAATAGCTTGAAGCATATTTGCGTCCGATTAAATGCATTCTCACATTTGTATCAAGGCAAAAACGCACAGAAGTTTAAATGAAAGTGTAACTCTTAAATTAGTTCGTTCTTAGACCTGGTAGGGCGCGATAAATACATGTAATACATGTATAAAGATCCGATGATAAATCAAAGTGCTTTTTTCCACTAAAAGAAATCGTGAAAGCAGAGGCTCGTTCTTTGCATTTGGTAAATACTTGCACCAATATATTATTATGCAGCAGCAGAACTGGTAATAGTGTAACATATACATAATATGTAGTTTAAGTGAAAGGAGAAATGTAAACATATTCTGTCCCTCCAAAAACGAAGGCAAAACACGATAATATGCTCACTTATATTACTTTTCAGGGCGCCGACTCGAAGACACAATACATTTTAAATAGGCGAAATGCCTTTTTTTCAATAGGCGAAGACACAATATCTTTCCAATAGAATTATCGAGTCGTCGGGTCTTTGCCCCGGAAATCGAAGACACGATAAATGTTTAAGTCACCGAGTCTTCGTGTCGTCGTGTCTTAGCCTCTAAATGATACATATAATGTAGAAATGATAAATACAAGAAGTAATATGTTATTTAAGTTATGTTACTCCATATTTAAAACCAACCATTGTAATGTATTTCTAATGACTCTTTTTAGATATCGTCGTCTTATTCTTAAAATGTCCTAACTCCATTTAAAGTAAAAATGAGATAACTCAATATTTATTTCAGTATTAGTTTATTCTATCTCCAAAATAAAATGTAAAGATTTACGCCATACTTTTGTAGATATAAGGTCTTTATTTTGTTCTATGTCCAATGGAAAGCCTTGCTGTTAGCCTTTTTTCTTCGTATCTCCAACACATGTAACAATTTAAGGCTAATATTTCTTGCCAGCCAACCATATTGAAAAATATATATTTCATGAGACATGAAGGGGCTTGACAATATATTTTTTCTAACTCCAGTGATAACAACAACAATCGTATCTAAATCAGCTAACTAGGAATGTAACATTTAAATAAATGATTTCTGAAGAATGTGAGTATATGTTTTAGCTTTATATGTTTTTTCAAGTGAATTTATATTTTGTATTAGTATTTGTTTCGCATTATAATTTTTTTTTAAATATTTCTCAAAGTTTGACAATCACATAATTTCGGATAGCTATATTCGGATAATTCGTATGGACTTTTTAGAACTTTTTGGAGTATCGAACATGGTTGTTGTTGAATTGTTAATGTTATTATTTTCTATTTCAGGTCGGCCTTACTAAAATATTTCCAAATGTTGTCCTTACAAAAATGTTGTCTCCTAGAACTTTTGACTTCAATTGACCAGAACTTCCAAAAAACTATGGAATTTATATCTACAAATTCAAGTCTGTGGAGAAATTTTGACTTGCCGTCATTTTCATTGTTTCAAGTCTTAAAACATTCACAAAAGATTTAGATATTTAACATTCCAATAGGATCGGAATATCACTGTCTTGTCCAAACATTGATTTCAAGTTTGCATGCGAGTTTCAATTCTCTCCGGGTCGTCAATGATTATCTTTATTAAATAATAGCAGAATCCCTAAAGCCAGAAACGGTATAATTGAAAAAGTTGCCGGCTCGGTTTGATTTGGCCTGTTCATGGACGATATTATTAGAATATCCAGTATCCACGTTGTGCGACAAACACCAAATTTGGAGATCGCAAAATTCACTGGATGTAAAATCTTGAAAATGACGACTTTGCGATCTTGAAAGATTGTCGAGAACTTGAGTAGATACATTTTTCATTCGCTGTGATAAAAAACCACACACAATACTACATGTACTAGAGACTTTGAATTGCATGTGGTATTGACTTTGTGTGAATAAAAAACATTTTGTGAATAGGCTTTGACATTCCTTTATCCCCAGGTATTTTAGCACATCACGAATTCTATATGCATTCATTTAATCACAATATTAGAGACGGCTACAATGATTGGTCATTTTTCATAATGGTAAAAAAAAATATGTCAGTTTTTTAAGCATTAATTAAAAATTTTGTGAAGTGTTTGTCATATGGCACACTTTTATATTGTCATTATCGAGAAAGGTCCAAGATGCAGATCTTGTGAATGAATTTACACTTTGACATTATAGTAATTTACATAGAAAAAGTGATTCAGTGTCAGCGGTTCAATCCCTCGGGCAGAATATGTTCTTTAGAATATAAAAATCTACTAGTATTCTATAGTAAAATTATTACACTAATGCTAACTCAAAAAGAATCTACAATTTTAGCCTAAAGTATACTTTGTCATATCTCCGCAAACTCATTTTTAAAGTATTTCTTTTATCTAAAAATAAACATTTTTGGTCTATCTCCAAAAAAAATTTCCTTTTTTTCAATTACTTCAAATTATAAAGGTATATAACAAAGTGCTTTCATCACATGTTGATATAAATAATAACAACCCAGAGTTCCACACTGTTGGGAGTTATCAAATAAAAGTTACGAAGTCTTTTATCTTTAACCCCTTCTTCCCATAGAAATACTAAAGTTTACAACACATAAATTATAAATGAGGTGTAACAATCGAGTTACAATTTTAAATTAGTTACACTATAACAGTCTTGGTTTTAATCGTAATTTATTACATGTAATAACTATTAAATTCACAGAAGAGGAAAGAAAAAGTTGTTTTGCCTGTCATCATCGCATTGTTTTCTACCTTTATCGGTACAAGTGACCAAAGCGACATAACGACCATCCAAGCGTATATAGTAAAAAGACAAGTGAAAGTCAAAATAAGTTATGTGTAACTTTTGTGGCTATTGTACATATTCAAATTATTTTTATATTTTGTACCCAATGTCCTTTGCACATATTCAATTTTTATATAAGAATATTGAAGCAAACCACCTGTGATAAGCCAAATTTGCCAATGTCGGCTATAGACAATGACAAATTAAAGTTAACACAGTAGACATACAGGCCACCAAACATACACACAAAAGCTCCAACTGTTTCTAAGTGAAATTGAACCTTCTATGGACGATGTCACAACCAGGTCTTAGACATGGATATTTTCAACACGCTCCCGTAGCAGGTTATTGAATACACTACCGTTACTTCAGAAAGTGAACCGCAGTGAAACATTCTAAAGATATACTGAAGAAAGAACGGGTAAATTACAAAATGCACCGTTCACGATCCTATACACCCCAATGATTAACATGACTGAATGCTTAATCGAAATAAGCTTGTATCCTAAGATTTAAGTAACTAATTTTATATCCGTGTATTAAAATAGAGAAATATAAAAAGAATTCTAAAAGACAGCCCAACACGGCAAAACATTTTAAAGGTTAAATAATATTATGTTTACAAATATAGTGTCCGGCGCGGTATGGCCAGTTATGTGTCAATGTACCGTAAACCCAATGAAAAAAATCTTTGAAAATAAGTATATGAACGGTCTTTTTAACTGCTGCATATGACCTGGCAGATGTAGACGATCTTTTACATACAGAAGAACGACTCTTTGTAATATATGATCCTTCAAAACTTCTACATAGTTGTCATTTTAAAATTTAAATGAAAAACAATATCTAGTTTGCATGGTTAATTTATTATTATAAGTGTAACTACTTGCAGATTTCTGATTGTAATTTATAAACCGTACAGTTTGTCTGCTTTACAAAAAGATCGAATGTCCCAGTTGCGCCTATAAAGTTCCTTTTTCGCAAGCATACCACAAGATCACTTTTTTATTCTTGCACGATGAACAACGTCATTTTCTATGAAAATACCCAATAAGCTTATGTATAAACCAATAAACACTTTGAACTTAAATGTAATGAAGATGAAAATGGCATAAACACGTCAGCAATAAAATGACAACAGCTTCAAAAGTTTTAAGTTCAATGCACTTATCAAATTCAGCAGGTTAAGGGTTAAATTTAAACAAAAATGAAATATAAGTCACACACATTCTACAAAACTTTACATGAATTAAAATATCTTTGCTCAAGTTGGGAAAAGAGACCATTATTATAAATACATGTACTCTTTTTTTTTTCTCAAAAAGTTGGGCTATTTACCCTTAACCTGCTGGAACCAAAAGTGATCAGTCTTTGCCACCAGTATAGAGCTAGGCAGCTGAATTTTATTTTTTTTTATATTAAAATCCCATGAACTTGGAATGGACTGTTTCAAGTTCAAATCCGGCAGATCCATTATAGAAAGATAGCAGGTCAAGGGTTAACAATAATAAGTGTAAAAATAGAATTAGACAGGGTAGAAAGTCACGACATACCTTTGATTAGTTTAAGAATGGCATCTTTGTCAGCCTGTTCTAAATCGGAAAATCCTTCTAAATCATCGGGATCCTCGATCTTCTTTGTTGTAGCTCGTGCACGTACAAATGTCTCAAACACGCAATCAGGATGAAACCATTGTTTCATGTCCCCGGCATCCTTAAATGTAATCACAACTTCATAAATGCATCTTAGAGATACATCCTTAAATGTAATCACAATTTCATTACTTGTACAAGCAAAAAGTCTAAAAAATTTGTTTTTTTAGGGATGGCAACGAATACAAAAATCAATACTCGAGTACTCGGTCATTTTTCCGATCGAGTACTCGGTTACTCGGATGATTTCCAGTGATCTTCAAAGTTTATCTCACAATATCAACACCGTCCGCATGCTACATTCGTTTTCTATTTAAATTCATAGAATTCGTTGCTATAAATAGGACTGCACGGGAGACAAATTTAATAAAATTAATTCAATAATATGAACTTTTTTATGATTTATACACAATAAATGATTAAGTAATGGTTGCACAAACTGACCATCCTAATACATCCAATTCTAAGGACTAAGCATTCTTGCGTGCTTAGCTGTTAATTGTAATACATTCTAGACCTGGAATCTAGACGGTAATTTGCTTACAAAAACGAAATCAAATTTGCTCTGATTTGGATTATAAACACAATGCAATAATTTTCCCAAAATTGTCCATACAAATTCAACACAATCTGTTAAACCTGATTTTAAATGGTCAGTAAAATTGGAAACCTAGTTTTAAACATATTATCTAAAGAAATACATATATCCCATTATGTGGGATCTAATAATCATTTCAAAGTAGAATCATAAACCTACCTCGGAGAATGGATTTGAGACAAGTTTTGCTATTCTTAGAGCTCCTTTATCAATCTTCTGTTTACATTTTTTACAACTTGACGTCCCTAATTTGGCATAACCAGTCAAATATATATTTTCTGCCATTTTGTAGTTATGTGTGTCAAGCAATCCTGGAAATGATGTGAATACTGGACTGAGGCGCATTCCGAAGGCACTTTGCTGCATCATTCATTTACATTAATAAAAAGAACTTGAATTCCACAGCTTACTTAATTCAAGTTTAACGAATATCAACATTCTATCGATTTTTTCTATTTCACGGTAATTTTTGACTTGTCGCTGCCATTTTGGATTCTGATACCTGTGTGTTATACGCGATCTGATTGGACGTCAAATTTGGCTCGTCCAATCAGATCGCGTATTTCAACCCAGGTATCAGACTGCAAAATGGCTACGACAATTCAAAAAATACCGTGAAACAGAAAAAATCGGAATGATAGTGATATTCGTAAGACTTGAATTAGATAAGCTGTGGAATTCAAGTTCTTTTTATTAATGTTAATGAATGATGCAGCGAAATCCTGCCGGAATGCTCCTCAGTCACCGAAACGACGATTTCCCGTGTTCCACATTGTTTGGCAAATGAACATATAGTAGGCTTTTCACCTTTCTATAACTATAATTTTGATAGTGGAAAAAAAAATTTATATAAAATTTCATCGGTGGTTTTGTATTTGGTACCTTATAGTAAGCTTTAGAGTGTTGAATTATTTTTTTTCAGGGTTGTAGTAGGGGTCCAGGGGCAGATAGGGGTGGGGTGTCCAAACACTGATACTGCCACCTGTGGGCAAAATCACAGACACTTGGGGTTTGGAGCTCAAAATGCCTTTAAAATCCAAATAAAATGCATATTTGTCAATCCCAGCACATGTACTGATCATATATATATATATATAAAACTTAATATAAGCCGTTTTGAAAAAATTTCATATTTCAACATCTATTATAATACACAATATAAAAATGTTCGCCGGAAAAAATCCGCACCCCTACCGTCATAATCACCATGTATTTTATTCCATTTCCAATATTTTCACATAATCCTTTGGTCCATCGACACAGAAGATATAATTCTTCACGATGATGGTCAATTTTTAACTTCAACGGTAATATAAACAACGCAACAGCCGAAATAAACATCAGTATTATCGCCGTTTTCCTTCAATGACATTATCTTTCGATAAATTCAAACGTGCCAGACGGCTATGACTGAAGCCATCCGATTATGTGTCCCCAGCTTGGCCGTGTGCAAATTGCGCAGCGCGTTTAAGTGTGGGAACCACATAATCGGATGGCTTCGGTCATAGCCGTCTGGCACGTTTGAATTTATCGAAAGATAATGTCATTGAAGGAAAACGGCGATAATACTGATGTTTATTTCGGCTGTTGCGTTGTTTATATTACCGTTGAAGTTAAAAATTGACCATTATCGTGAAGAATTATATCTTCTGTGTCGATGGACCAAAGGAGTATGTGAAAATATTGGAAATGGAATAAAATACATGGTGATTATGACAGTAGGGGTGCGGATTTTTTCCGGCGAACATTTTTATCTTGTGTATTATTATAGATGTTGAAATATGAAATTTTTTCAAAACGGCTTATATTAAGTTTGTTTGATATATATGATCAGTACATGTGCTGGGATTGACAAATATGCATTTTATTTGGATTTTAAAGGAGTTTTGAGCTCCAAACCCCAAGTGTCTGTGGGCAAAATCCGAGAGTAAGAAAACCAAAATTTAACGGCAGTAGAATAAGTGACACAAATTGTTATTTCCATTAACAATCAACTTTTGGTATTGATTTCACAAAAGCAAATTGTCAGTGAATAAATTATTATCAAATACTTAGTATACCTGTAGATGAAATCTATTTCAATACTGTTGTTGTTGTATTTGTTTATCTTTGTTTGAAACGGAAGATCAGGGCAAATACACTGCCTCAAACTAACTCGTAAACGTTGTCGTCTTCATCACTATGATTTTAATTGGCCTATTCCGCCCGTCTTCGGATAATGACTATCGCGAGAAGAAGTCGAGGTATTTAGATTGTAAATTATTCAATATTGATTTTAAAATGTCTTGATATTTTCCCTGGCAGAATAGAAAACAGAGAAGAAGTAATATTTTTTATATGATACCTAAAAGTAACGAAAGTGATATTTAGTATCCTTATAAATGATGATATTAAAATTGATTCAGATCTGCGTGTACTGGCATATGACATCCGACAGCTTAAGGCAGATGTCTTTTTTCAGTGGTAGCGGAAATTTGGCCGCCCAGGGCGGGGATCATCCTTTACATTAGTTCTAACTTCCTTTTAAACAATGACATCCACATGGCATTTGTTCTATCTGAAAGAGCATTTTCTCCATAAACTAAATCTAGATCCGTTTTTATTTCAGACGCGATTTTGCAAGGAGTCATTATCTCCTCTCTCAAATCACAATTCAACTCAGCCCAATCTGATTAAAATCGGCTCCTTAATAACGCTCTGCTACATGTAAAAAATAATTAAGTAGATTGCAACTCAGTCATGATTACTATCAATGTGAAAAACAACATGTATTTAAATGACCTGCTAAAATTTTATGCGCGTGTAAACCGTGCGAAAATTGACTGTTGGTTAGAAAACTCAATAATCTTTCCAACGGTTAATCATACATATACTATCACATGCAAATCAATGTTAAATTGAGTTGTTGCTAAAAATTAAAATATGCCTTGTTTTTGACATGAGCCATCATGTAAAGTTAGCGTCCAGATTGTGTTACGCTCAGATACGAAAAAAAGAACATATCAAACAATACTTTGCACACTTTTATCAACTCGCTTGTCACATCCAGACTTCCCTTCTTTATGGTGCATCAAAGGCTACAACAAACTGACTGACTACACAGTGTCCAGAACACGACAGCTCGAATCATAACGTGTATGTAGTCGTCTCGATTTGATCTCTCGGTTGCCAGTAGCGGACAGTGTTAAATATAAAATCTTGATTTTCACTTTCAATATGTACATAGACAAGCCTCAGACTATTTGCGTGAGTTGCTTGAAGTGCATGGACCAATGAGAGATCTGAGATCAAAGAATCAGCAACACTTGCACATGTACTTCCAAAGAATCGAAATGTTATTGTACGGTGACAGATCTTTTCTTTTCAATGTGCTTAGCCAAAACTATGGAATACTTTACCACCAAGCCTAAAAGAAACAGAGACTATACACATTAATATATTGTTTGTTGTATGAACTTTTAAAAAATATTATTGAATTTTAGACTGAACGCCGGGTATTTCGATCTGGACTATCCTTCGTATCTGTAAAACCACAGATATCTTATATTTAGCTCCATGGTAAAACAGAAGTTGTCCTAGTTGAGGGGACATCAGTAACAATATGCTTATCATTTGATTATATGTTTACAAATGTTTTGATTTTTTCCTTACCTACAAGAAATTAATATGTCATTGTTTAAATTTAAGTATTGTTAAATTTCTACGTGTATCGAAACCTTAAAAATAACATATGCAAGCTAACTAATTTTACTTCGACCGAGTATCTTTTCTAAAGAAACTTCTTGTTTAAATTCATGTTTAAATTGAAAAAAAAAAACATGTTTATTACTGAAAAAGATGTTCCACATGGAAGGCATTTGTCTTCGTTTGCCTGGTTACCCATTGATTGCGATCGATTAGATACATTATCGTTATACCGCTTTTAAGTTTTGGAATTATCTGCTTTGTAATACATAATTATACATGAAGTATATATGAATATTTTCCTATATAGATAATTTTAGGTATATCGATTGCCACACCAATAAAATAAATGTGCGCACTTCTTTCAGACGACAGAAAAAACTCGGATAAGTATCATTGAAAAAGTTCTTCCAGCTGTACAGAATATCTGTGCGACTAGATCTAGTTCACGCCCATTGTTGACTTTCTGGTATGACCACATATGTTTGGTATCCCCCATAGAAAATGTCCAATGGTGCATAACGTTTGGTTTAAAATATAAGAGAAAATATCAATCGATTGTTCCCTTTTATTTTTTTAAGTTTAAGGTGTTCTATTTACGAGCATACAGACTTGTGAGTTCTTGAAGATGCCAATACTTTGTTCTTGAGAATATTTGTTAATGCAGCATAATGTACGTCAGTTAAGTTTTAATTTTGTGAATACTTAAGGAACTCCACTCTGGCCAAAAAGCATAACAAGAGTTACCGCCGGGCGGGGGCAACGCTCAACTTTTTTACTTTTTTCTAAAATCAAACTAATAAACGGTTTAAACAAATCTTAAAGAAAAAAGTTAAGTTTTCCTTTTTTAAAATTTAATAGGTCTGTCTAGCCTCACTTGTTTTGTCCAAGTATGAATCCTTTCCATAAATGAGTGACAATGTAAAGAAAATATAATAAAATTTAATCATTTAAAGGTCATGGTCACTTAAAATGCAAATCATGAAGGTCATATCTAAATTATTAAACATGTCTGTTTGATCACAAGTGTTGTTTTGAATCAAATCCGTACATAGATAACAAAATTATGACAACTTAACCAAAATTCAATAATTTGAACTTGACGGTCAATGTCATTTAAAGCTCAAGGTCAAGGTCAGTTCAATCATTCAGGATATCTTGTCCAAAAGGTTGTTTTTCCCAAGTATGAAAAAAAAATCCATTGATTTATTATAAAGTTACAGCCAATTTAACGATAACAAAATTTTTACAATTTTTAACACAAAATTCAATAATTTAACCTTCAAGGTCAAGGTCATAAAGAGCCAAAGTCAATTTGAGTTTGGTATTCATAAAGGCCCTATCCTTAAGAATGTTATGATATAATATGAAGTCAATACATTCAATAATAACAAAGTTACAGCCAGTTATAGCAAAAAAAATGAAAATTTCCATAATTTGACCTTCAAAGTCAAGGTCATTAATCAGAGAAGGTCAATGTCTGTCTTGTTAACTTGAAGGGCTATCCATCCTAAAGGATTATTATGTTTATGTTTGAAGACAATCCAAATAACAAAGTTATAGCCACTAATATAAACAAACAAGCAAAAATTTAGACATTCACAGTTCAAGGCCATTTATGAATGAAGGTCAAGGTTAGTTTTGTCTACCCAAAGGTCTTTTTCAAGGGCTGCGTGGCCAAGTGTAAAAATAATACACCAGGAAATTAAAAAGATGTTATCAAGGTACAAGTTTGCGGACTGCAACGGCAACGCTGAAGTGACTGTAACTATACCTCTATTTATTTTTTTTATTTCTTTTCTTTATTTTCTTTTTTTTTTTTTCAAAAAAAGTCGGGCTAAAATGTGTATTAGAATATATCTACACCGTCTTGTATTAAATCTCGAAAAAAAATATTTCTAGGCCTGTCATGTCCAAAAAAAACCTCACTGGATTCCCTTCAATTGACAAGTATTTTTTCCCCCCTAAATTATAACCAAATGAAACGGCATGACAATTTTAAAAGCTTTATAAATGGGAAAACCTTAAAATCATCAAAAATACATTTATCTGAAAATGGTAAAAGGCAAATTATGCATCAAAAATAAGTACATTTTTACTTCTTACGAAAGGGGAAAAAGGGAGGAAAATAAAATAAAAAATAAATGAATTTATAATGGTTTTATTGTTACTTGACGAAAGAAGTGATATATACAATGTATGTGAAAAGTTTGTTACAAAAGTAGCAAAATGTAAATAAAGTAGTATTTTGACATACTATAAAAAACTTATTCACTATAACTGTACCTATTGCCAAAAAACGACAGATAAAATGGTTTAAGTTTTATTCTTTAAAAGCCTTAAATATTTACTGTGTGATAATTATTATACATGTAGTTTCAAAATGAAAATACTCTCTGGCCACTTACCTTAACCTTATTTTGCTTTGATTGCATTTCAGCAATTAGTACAGTTTTAGTATTGTAGTATTTTGTATGGAAGTCATTATACAAATATGCTTACATTTGTCTATTTTTATGACAAATAATTTATACATTCAATGGTTGTTTCTTTAGGTAATAAGAACTAATATACGCTAAAACCACTATTTAAATGATATTCAACTCATGCTGGGCCTTTCTCAAGATGGAAAAATGCATTTGTCTATAATGTGCCTTAAATTTCGCAAATTTATTTTAATTTACTTAAATTTATTCTTTTACAGATAAATGGACACTAGTACCTTGTATTAAGACCTCCAAGAGGCTTGGAACAAGTTGGTCTTAATTGTGGGTGTTCCAATTGGTGGATTTTATTATCAAAACATAAAAATTTTATGACCATGGTCTATTTTGTATGAACAATCAGTCTGTTTAGTATCTTCAAATGCTTCTATAAAAGGTATCTATAAATGAGATTTTGGAGAAAATTAATACTAAAACATTAATTTATACTAGTCTTGTTGAAATATTAAATGAAACAAGAATTGAATTTTCACCAAACATGTGCAGAAAAGAACCTTAAAACACCCTGAAATTTATTTTTCGCCTAATTAGTATATGTAAACTTCACACGTCAGATTCCAATCCTTAAATTACCGTTTACACCTTATTTCGACAAAGGTCGTGTCTAAGAACATTCAAGCATACAGCAAAAGCTAACTTGTGTTGACTGGATTATCTGCGGTCTCAAACAAAGAACAAGACAATGAGTTGGAACTGAAACTAGTAATCTTAGTAGTGGATAAGTTGGGGGATCATATTACCATTGGCATAAAGAACAGAAAACTTTGACCTTTTAAAAAGAGGTTTTTAAGAGCGGATAACTTACGGTTCTTAATGGCCTTCTTTTTTTTAAAAATAGAAAATGTCTTATAGTTTCCGCCAGGGCAACCAAAAGTAATCAATATGCTAACTAATGAAGTAAGTGAATTACTTTTTTTGCAATTCCAACCTAAAGAAACAACAACAAAAAACAAAACAAGAAAAAAACCCACAAAAAACACAAAAAAAGAGAAAAATAAAACAACCAAAAACAAACAAAATCAAATAAATAAAAGGAAACAACAATTTTCGTGCAGCAGGGGGTATTATAATGAATGGCTCCAAGTTATAACTGCATCAGTACATCTAAACAATAAATTATTACAAAGTAGATAAGTATAATGTAATGTGTAGTTTTTATAATATCTTTTATCTTTTATTCCAATTTCCTACTTTGCTTAAAAACTATATCAAGTGAGAATCTTTGTGTATTCGTATGTGAAATTAACCCACCACTTGAAATTATTAATGTGTCAATGCACACACTCAAAAATTAATGATTCATATGTCTAGGTTCTTGCAAGATTGTAATATGAACTAAAGAGTGCATAGTAATAAACTGATTCCCAGAGCCACTATATATGTCGTTAAATAACAAAATCCATTTGATCCACTTTGAGTCGCAATTTTATTATGCATACGCACTGGCGAGTGAGCAATCAAATGAATTCAGGGCACGATGTTCATCTGTCTGAACGAAAGCAAAAGACACTTGCAATATTGAAGTTCAAAGATAATAATTATTATTATTATTATAAAAATAATGATTATAATTATTATTATATCATTTTCTCTGAATAATAATAATTATAATAATAATAATGATGATGATGATGATGCTTTCTTCTAAAATTTCGTGACAAATCAAAATATAGTGTTAAGTATACCTCATGGGAAATAAAATTAGTGTACTCGATGAAGAGTTTAAAAGCAACCATAGCGACTATTTATAATATGTTTTGTTTTATGATCAATCTTGAAAAAAATCATTTAAGATTTCTAAAGCCCAAATTAAGGTGAAGCTAAGAGAAGGTTTAATTTGTCCATCTTTAAGTTCAAATAACTAATGTAGCTTCTTTTAAACTAAATGTACATTTGTATTAGGTTTTCCGTAATTGGAAAATAAGTTTATCCAAGTGGAATCAACATCAATGAGTTGTCTGCCTCAACGCCAGTGTCCGATGTCAGATATTCGCACATGTGTGTGTCTTCATGCAATGTTGCTCCATAACAGCCGTACATTTTACAGCATTTCACGGCGCATTGGACGACGGATAGAGACGGGCTTGGAGCAATGTTCAATGCATTGACACCTGCGCGTCCTTTGTCCAATCTGTAGTCTGTAAGAAAGAAAAAACAAAGATAGTTTTGTCCACATGAATCAAAAATATTTACAGTAAAAGATTAGAACAAAGATGTATTAACACTTCCTTTGGTCTTTTTTTATCTTTCATTTATAAGCTGGATGTAGGGATATATTACACTACAGTGTGGAGCCAAAGGATTTTTGAAAATATTTTTCTTAGATACTTCAGGTCATAAGGTATACATTTATGTTTCAATGGGCCAAGTATATCTGCAAAGTCATTTTGCAGAACTAGATTTCCAAGTATCAAAGAAAACTTAAAATATAATCTTCTCCTTAGAAGATGTTCAAAAATATCAACGCTGTTTTAGTTAGTTTAACTATATTGAACCGCCTGCAGTATTTGTGTTGAAATCGTCGTTCTATTATTCGTCATATGTTTGTTTTATTTATTTGAAATTGAATATATTATTCGTAAAAAAAGCTGGTTGCACCATATATACAAAGAAAACGTACTTTGTTTGAACCATTATTTTAACTATTTTCCTACGGTATGCGTGACTTTGAGATACCGAAATTCGGAGGCAATTCCACTTAATATATCATATGCTAAAATCTTTTAGTTGCGTTCCTTGAATTCACCACATTGCTAAAACATATTGCTAAGAAATATTACGTTATTATTATATTACTTACGACATGCGGAAGGGTATGCATATACCTCAACCTCACAAAGTTCAAAGTGTTCTACTACCGTCTCTGATCTTGTTAATCCCACCCATTGTCCAAGTACTGTGTTGGTCAGATTAAACGTATGAATGAGACCTTTTGGTAGAGCACCTTCATAAAATCCATACTGTGCGTATTCGTTTCTGCTGGGACCAATGTAGAGCTCAATATCGCGAATACGTATTTCAGCTTGAAAACAAATTTGGAATAAAAAAGTAATCATATCAATCATAATGTGGCTTGACTTGTCGAAGAAAAGAAGCGTTATATCGGGAATCTCGGAACAAATGAACAAATATATATTTATTTTGGAGCAACACAATACATATATACCTCACATTACATTCTTGTTGTAAAACACGTTGATATTTATCACATCGCATATATTTACAATTTACAGTCAGTAATAAGGAGACTATTTTATCGTGTATGATATTTTCATTAACACTTGTGTAAGAAAATGCCCTATAGGCGGTTTTTTATAATTGCATTTATACAACAAACCAACTTACAATAAAAATCACCAAAGTTTTCTCTAGGGTATATAGTGACGTGATCAATGAAAACCATTTCTCCCAAGTCCACTTCCCAGTAGGCATTGGTTTCAAATTCCGTGCGAAAACAGGAGTTATCTGTCGAATCTTGTGACAAGATTCCGTCCACAGCTCTACCTGCTACACCACCATAAAGGGTGCTTGACTGATAGGCCTGCTTTCCAAGTGCCATATTTTCTAAAATATCATTTTGAAATGCTTTAGATCATTTAAGTATGCAAATACAAATATGATGCCCTTTATAAGAATAAAACTATATAAATTAAAAGTCTCTGACAACAAATTAAAAATAAGGAATGTTAAAATGAAACATATGCATTCTTAATGGGTAGTAGGAATAAGTTACCATTATGCAAATCTCAGGGAAACCAATCTAATGGTATGTGATGATTAAGGAGTGTTATGTGTTTATGAATAAAGAAAAACACAATAATTATAAGGCAACGCACTGGGAAATTAACAATGGTGGTTAAGTACGCATGAAATGAACAGGGAAATATAAATAGAACTATCAACATGGATAAGGTTTTGGCATTCAGTGTCACGGTGACTTTGACCTTTGACCTTTCAACCCCAAAAGAGATGGGGATTATCTACAGTCTTAGACAAACGCACCTAAGAAGTTCGAGAACCAGAGCCACGAAGCATTCGTTTTGTCATACAACGTCTATAAGACCTCGACGTTTCTGCCCGCGACGCAAAATAAAAATCGGCCATCTTCTGCCCAAATATATATTCCTTTTTGAGGGCCAAAGATCCGTCGGTTGTCGAATTATTGTTTCGAAACCGTTTTGTCATATAAAAAGTGTATAATACATAAGTGCCCCCGACATAAATTTAAAAAAGGGTCATTTACCGGCCAAAATCAATTACTCTATAAAGTTTTCGGGCAAATAGCCCATTTGACCTTTACCCTTTATAAATGTTTCTCTAAAGTTTGAGGGCAAAGAGTCAATGAGCTGTAGAGTTAGTATTAGAACATCGTTTTGTTTACGAGGACAATGTATCCTTAAGATTTCATCTCTCGTTAAAAGGGTCATCTATTGCCTAAAACCAATGCATCTATGAAGTTTGTCAAGTTTTTGGTCGAAAACCATTTTGAGGTACAAGGTAAATGTTACCTTGAACTATCATCTTGCGACCCCAAAATCAATAGATGTGACCAATGTAACTGTTGAGAAGTTTGAGGACTAAAGGCCTATGTTTTTGTCGAGTTTTTGATCGGAAAGTAGGTCGACATACAATGTCAAGGTGATCTTGATCTTTGAGCCTTAGACCTAAAAATCCTTTCATGGAGTCATTTACTGTCCAATACCAATGCACAAGTTTGTGTGCCAAGGGCCAATTGCTTGTTCTTTTATTACTCGGAAACCGATTTGACATTTGGGCCTTTCACACTAAAGTCAATAGTGCTCATTTACTTCCAAATACAAATGCACCTATGAAATTTTAGGGTAATGGACCCATGAGTTCTAAAGTTATTAATCAGAAACGATTTGTCACGGACGGACAGACCGACCAACCGACCGACGGATATCAAATTGCAAAACAATACGTCCCCTCTTCAAAGACAGTGGGGAATAAAAAGAGCCTAATACTGATTATATACAGTAGGCCTATGTATTTAAAGATTTTGTATGTTGTACCACACTTTTATATATGTATATGATTATGCTTTTAAAACAATTTTCAAACATCGAAGAATATGTAAAATATCTTCTGCAAATATTCGTCAAAATTATTTGTAATCATTAAAATATATGCATTCATTTCTTATTGAAAAAATTGACTTAGACTTTATAGAAAATAAATTTCAAATTACCTTTATTTTATTAACATGAACATGTACATTCGACAATATCTTTAAAATATTTATTATTTGAACTTACAATATTGATAAATCTTAATTTGAGCATTATATTTATGAAATAAAACCATAAAAAATTAAGTTAGAGGACCTTACGCAATAAATTATTTATCAATGCAATATATGAAACCGGAGTTGTTATAATGTATGTGCCCGTCTTTGTTGTTAATATGCGTTAGTTCTTTATCTACTGAATTGTGCCTAAGATAATGCATGGACGGAGAACCGGATCTTTCTCAGTCAACAATGCTGATTATTTGTCATATAACCGTACAAAAATGTCTGTGTTATTTATAAAACAAAAACGAGTGGCAAAGACATAAGAAGAAGAAAAAGGCGTTTCAGAGGGGCAAATCGACAGTAATTAACTTGTCAAAAAGGCGTTTATCGGTCACAGACTATGCATTACTCGGTAAGGGACTTTCATTTGTACCTAAGCTTAAAAGCCACGTCAAAGTGAAATTAGCAGAAAAGTTGTTTAGATTCTCACATAGATTACGGCTTAAGGAGTATTTTTACGAGGAAACAGTAACTGTAACAAATGAACAAAAGTATAATGATAAACCTTTCTTTAATAAAAAACAAGGCCGTGATGAATATCTTGACTTTTATAGTGAGGCAATGCACCAGGATATTCTCCAATCATCAAACATATCTAGATATTCAAATATCACTAAGGAAGAATTATCCAGTCTTAAGTCGTTAGCAAATGACAGGGATATTGATATCAAAAGGCAGACATATCGGCTAACATTGTCATAATGAACAATGAAGATTACATACAAGAAGTGAACAGACATCTTAGCAACGATAATTATTACAAGAAACTAGATGACGACATTGCGGAAACAGTTCAGAAGAATGTCCGTGACTGTATAGACATTATTTCCGAAACCGAAGAATTGGTAGAGGAGGAGTTTGACATTTTTCCCGAAAAAATACGTACTCCGCAATTTTATATTTTACCAAAGCTACATAAAAATATAGATAACTCGTTGCCATTAAGATATTCTGGTAGGCCTATAGTATCCGCATGTAATTCCCCTACCGATAACATATTCAAATTCCTAGACTATATACTCCAACCCCATGTGTTAACTTTGCATTCGTATATAAAAGATACCACTGATTTTTGCGAAAAATTAATAATTGTAGTCTATCATCCAACAGTTATTTGGTAACTATGGATGTTAGCTCTCTCTATATCAATATCCCCTATGATGAAGGTATCGACGCTTGCCGGCTATTTTTGAATCGTTATACCGGTAACTTTAACACTAGTCTGTCGGTCGATAGTATTTGTAAACTTATAGAGCTTACACTTAAGAATAATCATTTTAAGTTCAAAAATGATTATTACATCCAAACCATGGGTACAGCCATGGGTAGTCCATTTGTTCCAGCTTATGCATCTTTGTTCATGGGTAAACTTGAACAAGACTTTTTACAGACACGCCAACTTAAACCTACCCTATGGTTACGGTTCCAGGACGACATATTCATGATCTGAGGTCATTCTTTCGATGAATTAAATGATTTTGTCCAGACCCTTAATGGATTACACAGATCCATTAAATTAAATTATGACATTTCACTGGATCATATTTCATTTCTGGATGTCGATGTTACTAAAGACAACAGGAATAATATTTGTACCAATGTCCATGTTAAAAATACCAACATCCACCAATACCTGGATTACTCGTCCAATCATCCCGAAACATGTAAAAATGGTATTCCTTACAGTCAGGCTAAGCGCTATCGTCGTATTATATCGGACGATGACCAGTTTGCTAAGTCACTGGACAGTCTCCGTGAATTTTCCATTTCTAGAGGTTACCCTGATAAGGTTATTGATGACGCATTCGGTAAAGTACGTCATGTATCTCAAGATGAAGCCCTTGTATACAACAATAACTCCTCTGATGAAAAAGATTGTACCTTTTGTTATTGAATAAAGTCCGTCTCTTCTCCATATCGGCAGTATCGTAAAACAATACTGGGATTTATTAAGCTATCGCCAAATGCGTCAGTCCAACATTTGCACGAGTACAGACCCGTGTTAGCCTATCAGCATGTTAAAAATCTCAAAGATTTCTCAGTCAGGTCTACATATCCCACAAAATTCCCTGGCCCTGTCAACGCCCATTCTCGCAAATGCTCCAGGCCTAAATGTTCACATTGTACCAGGATCGTAGAAACTGATAAATTCGAAAGTTTTTCTAATTCTTCTACATATCGTCTTAAATTTAATACAGATTGTACATCTAATAATGTTATTTATTTAATATCTTGTAAAAAATGCAACATGCAATATGTGGGCCAAACTAGACAAGTGTCCAAAAGAATGAATAGTCACAGATTTGACATTAAGTATTTCAGTGACCCTGTGTATGCCAGTGGTGTTGCAACACATTTCAACACTACAGACCACAGTGTGGAAGACTTCAGCTTTTTACCTATTGATATTGTTAACAGTGATATGGACAGACTCGTCCAATTCACAGGCTTGATACCGTGTTTCCTACTGGCATAAACACCAGTGTATTGTTCAAATTGTAAATTTTAGTTGGCAATTATAAGTATATATCAACTGTTTTAAAATTTTCTCCATGCATTTTTAATGTTTTGTCTTATTATTATTTTACAATTTTCTTCATTATTTTTACTTATTTATATCATTTTATTTCATAAAATATTTCATTATTCTATGCAAATTGTCTATTCTTGTACTTTTTGCTGTTTTTATTACCTCCCTTTATATTTGAAAAAATATTTTCCCACAAATTAGTTTTACATAATTATTCTCTTATTCATTTATTCTTTTTATTATTTATTTATTTTTATTATTACTATTATTATTATTATTATTATTATTATTATTATTATTTGTTTGGGTCGTCAGACCAAACAAATAATGGTAGCGAATTTTCAGACCCTGATGTTCTTCTTTGCAAATACCGAAAGTAGTCCAAACTCCTCGAAGCGGTTACTTCCCTTCATATGTACATAAACGCTGAAAAATTAAGGGGAGATCACTGCGTTACGATTGCCAAATGACAGGCGCATTAATTTTCGTTACGAAAAAATATTTCCCGAATGGTCGAAGATTTCTAATATTGTGTTATTCTTATAGATATACATGCTTATATTCAGCTGCGTGATTATTTACTTCAGTGTTAAACAACAGGTATACCGTGAACAAAATATATCGAAATTAATAAGGGTTACAAACTGTAATTAAGAATCATATGGTATTCTTCAGGCTGTTATCTACAACTCCCCGTCGACGAGGGGTTTACACGCTCGCTTTAGAAGTGGGAGGTCCGGAGTTCGAATCCCAGTTCAGGCAACTCATGTTGTTTTTTGTTTTTGTTTTTTTTAATTGATTAAGCCAAATAAACATTGAATTGAATATCAGTGTTGCAATAAGTCTTATAGCCAATTTACTATAGTTATATCACTGGAAACAGAATTGGTGACACTGTACAAACAAATTGGTTTATAATCTCACAACCTTCACCTTTCTGGCATTCTGAGACCCAAACAAATTCAGCGCCTTCTGTGCTTTGATTATTATTGGTGTTGTTATTATTATTATTTTTATTGGTGTTGGTGATGGTGATGATGATGATGATAATATGTAATGGGTAATGTTGTTGTTATTATTATTATTATTATTATTATTATCTTTTTTATTATTCTATATAACTAGCTGGCTAATTAAAGTAATGCTTTCTCGCTAATTCCCAGTGAATGTATATATAAAATTATATGATATATTTTGACATATAGGCATGTTGGGTTTTATCATTTTTCTCTGCTTTATACTGTAGAAATATAGTTCTATTATTAATACCCGCTGTATCACTTTGATCCATATCTATTTGTTAATTACTTTACATTCACGTTTTTGCGCAAATTTGTCACGTTGACGTTGGCGTCCTAACAGACGTGACGTCAAATATTTTTTACGGTATTCTAACGAAACTAGTAAAAATTAAAGAAATATGTGTTGTTTTCGTGTATTTTAACTGTGTTATTTATACACATTCCCCATATTTTATGAGGAACCTGTCAGAAGGTCCCTTTGATTTGCTGATTCGTAAATAATTAAGTAGGTGATACAAGAGCACCTTTTTTTATTTTATTTTATATTCATGTTAATAAATATATTGAGTACTTGAGAAGGAAAATAAAATGAATTTTAATTGCATTGGATCATAACTGATATTTGTTAAATTTTGCATTGACAAATATCATAACGGCTCAATATTAATCTCCAACCAACTTAATGTAAGGCTATAAAGAGTAGAAAATAATGAAGCACATGTTACATTGGTGCAGTATATAGAGGATATTTGTTAAGTTCAGTATAAGATCGGAATATATTTCACCGAGTGAGCACCAAAAGGTATATTTCACGAGTGGCACAGCCACGAGTGAAATATGAACTTTTGGTGTTCATAAGGTGAAATATATTTCGATCTTACACTAAACTAAACAAATTTTCTTTTTATTACATGCAAAGAAACGTTTTAAAAAGACATTAAACCTAATACTCAATGAAAAGCGCGCCAAATAATAATACAACGTGACGCCATTTAGTTGGTACCCAGTACTGTGGACGCTAGTATGTCACTGAAACAACGTAAGGGGCTTAAATCACTGATATATTTCTATAAACCACCGGAAAGCATGTAATAAAACGTAGTATGAAATGTACATTATCTTCATACCCGAGGCATTCCTCAACAAGGAATGCAAGAATGTAACTTTATATTCTTTATAGTTGAAAAAAAAGACACAACAATGAAACATATTTGCATATCATCTGAAGACAAAATTAAACAATGGTTCACGAAGATGAAAACGAGAGTTAGAAACCAGGTAAACGATCAAAATTCCAAAATGAATTTGATAAAAAAGGTAAGGTTTAAGGTCTTGTAACTAAATTCCTTTTATGGTTTTATATTATAAATCTGATGGAGATTTATCAATATTGTAAGTTCAAAAAAGCATTAATTGTAGAGAAATAACCGAATTTACATTTCATGTAAATAGAAGGAGGTAATAAGAAATCTTTTTTCGATAAAGTGTAAGCCAAAGTTTTCAATAACAAATGAATGCATATATTTTAATGATTACTTATAATGCGAATAAACACTTGCAGTACATATTTAGAATATTCTTTTATGTTTGGAAATTGTTTTGGAAGAATAGTTATGAACATATATAAAATTCTACTTAAATGTTGTAACATCCTTAATTACAACATACAGGATCTTTAAATACTGCCAAAGTCAAGGGGATGATACGATGCCCACGCGTCCTCAAAGGTCTGATACCGCGAATGCTTTATCAACCGGTATTTTGAAGGAAAAAACAACAAAGAGAGTCTTGTATAGCGAGAATTAATTCTTTTTTTTTGCAAATGACTGTCAAGTCATTTGGAATATTAAAACTAGAAGTATGAGACCCTTGAAAAAAATACGGGAAGTCTTAAATTGAAATGAACGATTACTATGTCTTAGAGTAAATTTTTTTTACGCAAAAATTAATATGTATTGAAAAATATAAAAAAAAATCTACTGAATATGTCTTATTTAAATAAAAGTATGTATGTATCGGAAGCTGCATTCCCTATTAAGTAAAGTTAGTCCTTTAAAAACAGTTTTTAATGACTATTCATACTACTATTGTGTCCACCTATAGTCTGTAGAGTTTAAGACATATTGTATCTACTATGTGTGAAGCCAAACCAAAGAGACTGTATAGCAATATTATGTATCTTAACTATCAAATTTGAGCATAATATATCTTTTATCTTACCTAAAAGATATAGCTCGACTAAGGTAAATCCTGTGAAAATGATGAATACAACAAATACAACAAATAAATTCTTATTGGCTTTAGTTAAATCCATTTTTAAATCAAACTCATGTAATATATTTGTTATGACTGTTACTGAATGTTTAGAAATCCGGTAAGTAATAGATATACCATTGCTGCGTTGACGATTTCTGGGTTTGCGTAAATTATACCATAATCACGTGACCTTTCTTATGCCTTGACCTCACGAGACGAAGTCGAGTGAGGTTGCATAAGAAAGGTCACGTGATTATGGTATAATTTACGCAAACCCAGAAATCGCCAACGCACCAATGGTGTATCTGTTTTAACCTATAGCTCCGCCCAGAAACACTTACTCCTTCACTGAAAATTATACCATAGTCTGGGTATGGTATAATTTACGGTTATTGGAAATTATACTTAGAAGAATTTTACATAAGAAGCGCTGAAGAGCTATAGGTTAATATAGAATAACTGACTTTGGCAGAATAAAAAATTCTACTGCGACACACAATTATCGTTTTATTACTTTCAATTAGTTGCGCCACTGCAGGCTTCAATTTGCCTTTCATAAAACATTAATAACTCTTACACTGGTGTGCAAAACATAAATACATACATGATTGGGCTTGATCGGTATATGGGACGAAGAACTGCTGTCATTACGCAAGACTCAAACAAATTGAACGACTTATTAATTTTTCAAAATAAGGAATCAAGAAACAGTTTTGCCCGCCTAGCAAAGTAAAAACATATTAAATCTAATTGGAAGAATGGGAAAGTTTTAACATTTAGAATTTAGAAGATATCTCCGTTAAAGACGTTAAAATTCTGCAATCAATAAGCTGAAAATACTATAGTCTGTCCCATTAAAAATGGAAATGAACTTTTGCCTGGTATGAATTAAAAAAACGACGTTGAATAAAAAATAAAACTTTTTTGTAAACTAAAAAAAAGTCACCCTCGAGATTTTTCATGATTTTACTCTAAAGTGTCTACTTTTCTTGTGAAAGCAAATTTTGATTTCTCTATGGTAAATCTCTGTTGTTTATTTTCCGTAGCCATTGCCGAAGTACTCTTCATTTGAAGATGAACGGGAGAAAGCACGTGTCATGTTTCTAAAATATACATGAGGTTCTCGGGGTCGTTTCATGATTATTTTACAAAGCTGGATCTACAAGATGTAACAGTTTAGTTGCAATGCATGATGGAAAACTTTAAAAAATGAAAAATAAGCAACAAGAACACCGAGTCACATGGAGTAGATCTAGAAATTGCACTTACTTTTAAGCTGAATAGAATCCCTATGAACTTTATAAACGTCACGACAAATTCGCATTCTGAAGATTCCTTCATTGCCAGTTTCTATCCAGTTCCGTAGATCCCACTTTTTTACTTCAAAAATCCTGAATGACATGACTCCTACACTTTTGATGATCCAGATTTTTTAAACTGATAATCCGTCTCATTATTAAAACATTGTTCAATTTGTGGAGTTATCTGGGTTAGCAAATGAAATATGTAAATGAAACACATCATAATTCAGCATGTTGATTGTTCCAAATCCATAATTCAAGAACGGCCCATCAATTTTAGTTGTCAACATCACAATGCTTATGGATTCCTGACGAAAAAAAACAACTTTATTACGTCAACAACAATTTACGAAATATATGACGTAACAAAAATGTCTCGCGCTTTTAATGGATGATTCCAGTTGCGGCATTGACAGAGGGCGGTTAGGCATATGTAACCTCAAAAAGATAATTTTAAGCGTTGAGATAAATTTATCTTGATGGCATTTAAAATAATTCTTGTATACCCAGATTTTGAAACTGTAAAACGTATACCTTCAATTCATATAAATTATTAATAATATAAAACTTTTGATAACATTTAAAAATAATTTTAAACACACTTAATGACATGAATCTACAACAGTACAATACTTCTTCCATTAATTACATATAACATTCGTTTTGATTTTATGTTTTTAAACTATTTTATATATTTCTCAGAAATAATTTCCCTACATATTATCTCGTTATTCAAGACTTCTGTAAATCCTACTCTTTTAGCTACAAAATATACAATACGCGGTATTTTTTCTCCCGCGAAAAATATGCTAGATCTATTGTTTTTTCACTGAATATTTTCAAATTTTAGGAAGGCTAAAATTATTGAGAACGTCACTCGGTGTTTCTCTTTGACTCGATCTACCCTTCATATTAACAAAATAATTATATGTAACACTTTGAGTCTACAAAAAAAACACTTAATGTCGCTTATTGAACCTTACTCTTAATAATATCAAATCACTGCCGGTATTTCTTGACATTTTGTTGAATTGTGAGACGGAAAGTTTATTCTGTATTTACGAGCTTAAAGTGTATAGGCCTACGTTTGATTGCTTAAACTAGAAAGCATGATCATTGCTTAAACTAGAAAGCATGATATTATATATTCTTATAATTTACATTTTCCTCGAACGCGAGTCTGTGTTCTCTCGTTAGCGAGGGAGTTAGTTAAAGTAGACACTGTGGTAACAAGCAAACCAATGCTGAACGTATAGTGAATCAGTTTTCCTTTCTTTATATTTTTTGAAAGATTTGCATGATAATGTAGTATTTGTTGGCGATTTCTTGTGAAAGTTGAAACCTACGGAAAGTTTTAGCGCATTCGTGACATCGCTCCCGAAATATGAAGGGTAACATATTTATGTATCCCATCGAACCTGGTCAATTTATTTATTTTTTGAATAGACGTGATACACACTTATGGACAGAATTCAGACAACTACAGAATTATGTAAATTAAACATTAATTAGTGAAGAACCATTTTTATAGTCTTCTATAGCTAGTGTTTTCGCTCCCCTACGACGCGTTGTGGTATTCAAGATACGCGCTTGATTAAAAAGCTATCTAATCAAATCACTTCATTGTTCTTTTTCACTTAAAAAATATAAAATACGACAGTATATCATGGTAATTAATTAAAGCTTTGTGTGTTTGAATTTATAAAGCTTCCTGATAATTTCTCTTCAAATGATTTTGATTATTTTAAATAATGGTTTGCTAGTAAAATTGCCTTTTTGACACCAACTTTGTTGTCATTTTTCATTTTAATGATAACATTTAGCTATTGATCAGTAAGTAAATAAGAATAATATTTTTTTATAATTACCGAGTACATTTCACGCTAATTGTGAGACGAACCCTAAATGACGTCTATATGGGCGCCGCCATTTTGAAATGGACGTCACGTCAGGTTACAACGTAAGTCAACGGGAAAAAATATAATTTTAACATTTTGACCATATTACTGACTTTATGAAAAAAATGAAAAACATGCCTAGAGATATTGATGTCAGGGTTAACATGACATTAATTTAAATGATTTTACTATTATATTAAATAAAAAATGGAATGTTCAAATTTGATGGGACAGACTATAGTATGTCATTTAAAGTAACAGATGATACATATATTAATCTTATTGCTAGCCCTTGACTTACTAAAGTACTCAACAAGTAAAATTTTTATTACGTCGCAATTCGAAGAAAACAGCATATTGTTTGACAGCATGGTGCCGGTAGGTTGGTCAGTCAGTACCTCCTTAATTATTTCCTATCAATTTAAGATCAAACTTGAGAAAGCATAAGCCCTTTATCTTACTACTTCATAGGTGCATTAATCTGAGCTATTAGATGACCCTTCAATTTCTTTCAATAGTCCAAAAGTCAAAGTCACAATGACTTTTTATATAACACCATTTTTTATCAATAACTCGATAACCAACAGACCTTTGCCTTCAAACTTCACATCAACATTAACCTTGGCTAGAAGATGATCCACTATTGGCTTTATTGTCAATGAATAAAAGTTAAAGGCCATATTGATCTTGTATGTCAAAACGATTGCCGATCAATAACTTCACAACCCATGATCCGTTGGTCCTCAGACTTTTCTGCTGCATTGGACTTGAACAGTTAATTATACCTTTTCATCTTTTTACGTCAAGGGGTTAAAGGGCATATTGACCTCATATATAGAATAAAAAACGACTTCCGTAAAATAACTGGATAACCGATGGGCCTTTTGCACTCAAACATAAAACTTAAAACTCAAAAAAGTATGCATTTGTCCTGGATAGAACATGACAACACGTAGATGATTTTGGAGTTCATGGTTCAAAGGTTAAGATTACATTGACCTTGTTCCAATCAATAAATCTATAACATCTTGGCTTGTTCTTGGCAAGTAAATGCCGCATAATAATTTTGGATCGCAGATTCAAACGTCACATTGACCCTGTATATCAAAGCGATTTTCGACAAATAACCTGACGTCCCGTGAAACGTCGACCCTAAAAATCACCGGGACATTGTACTTTGCCGGGAGATTAGACTTATTGATATTGGCGTCAAGGACTCAAAGATAACAATAATATCGACCTTGTATGATAAAACGTTTTCCGACAAAAAATTCAACAATCCATGGGCCCCTAGACCTCTTACTTCACAAGTACGTCGGCCCTGAGCAGTAGATGACCCCAATTGATTTTGGGTCAAGGGTTCAAAGGTCACAATGACCATGAAAATCAAAACGGTTTCTGACTAATAATTCTACAATCCACTAGCCCTTGACACTCAAATTAAAAACATAAGCCCTCGACACTCAAACTCACATGCACTTTTGTCTCGGCCAGTTTATAGTTCCTCTTTATGTTAGGGTCGCAAAGTCAAAGGTCAAGATACATTAATCTTATATTTCAAAACGGTTTCCAATAACTCGACAACATATGGGCCTTCTGTCGTCAAATTTCGCAGATTTATTGGCCTAAGACAGTACATGACTCTTATTTATTTTTGGTTGTAGGGTCACATTGACCATGTATGTCGAAATGTTGTCTTAATTGTGGGTTGTCTCATAAGTGGATATTATCATCATGCACAAACATTTTATGATACAGTCTATTTTGTATAAAGATGTTCAACCAATATGTATCAAAATTTTAATAAAAATTTAATTCTTCACCAAAAGTTTTGCAGAAGGTACCTTAAACACTCTGAAATATATTTTCTCGCCTTTTATGCCTTGCATTTTCTAAATGTTAAAGAATATTTCAATCATAGCCGTTTAACACATTGTTTCATCAAATGTCATTTAAGTAGTGTTTCCAATGTCATTAATAAATTGAAAATGCCTCATAGTATCCTTTATAAAAATTCTTGGCAACCATAAAGAAAACAATATGCTAACCAGTGCAGTAAATGAAGTATTTTCGTATGTTTTCATACATAAAAAACAACCACAAAAAAAATTCAAAAACAAAGAAAACAACTAAAATAAAAATACAATGGCTACAAGTTAAAACTGCATTAGTAAATCTGAATAATAAGCCTCTGGAAAATATAATTACAGAGTGGACAAGTATGTGTATATGTGTAGTTTTTTTATATTTT